GTTGTTTAACATAGTGCTGGAAGTCCTAGCATCAGCCATCAGGCAACAAAAGAAATAAAAGGCATCAGAATTGGCAAAGAACAAGTCAAACTTTCACTTTTCACAGATGACATGATACTTTACATAGAAAAGCTCACAAACTCCCCCAGAAGCCTACTAGAACTGATCCATGAATTTAGCAAAGTTGCAGGATACAAAATCAATGCACAGAAATCGGTTGAATTTTTGTACACCAATAATGAAGCAACAGAAAGAGAAATCAAGAAACTGATCCTATTCACAATTGCAGAAGAAAACATAAAATACCTAGGAATAAACCTAACGAAAGATATAGGAGATCTGCATGATGAAAACTATAGAAGACTTATGAAGGAAATTGAGGAAGACATAAAGAAATGGAAAACATTCCATGCTCATGGATCAGAAGAATAAATATTGTTAAAATGTCATTACTACCCTAAGCAATCTACATATTCAATGTAATCCCAATCAAAATTGCACCAGCATTCTTCTCAAAACTAGAACAAACTATCCTAAAATTTGTATGGAACCACATAAAACCCCAAAGGCACAAAAACAGACACATAGACCAATGGAATAGAATAGAGAACTCAGAATTGGACACACAAATGTGTGGCCAACTAATCTTTGACAAAGCAGGAAAGAGTATCCAAAGGAAAAAAGGCAGACTCTTAAACAGATGGTGCTGGGAGAACTGTACAGCAATACGCAGAAGAATGAAAATAGATCATGTTCTCACACCATACACAAAAATAAACTCAAAATGGATGAAGGACCTGAATGTGAGAGAGGAAACCATCAAAACCCTGGAGGAAAAAACAGGAAACAACCTCCTTGACCTCAACCGCAGCAATTTCTTAACACATTTCCTAAGGCAGGTTAATCAAAAGCAAAAATGCACAATTGGGACCTCATCAAGATAAAAAGCTTCTGAATAGCAAAGGATACAATCAATAAAAATAATAGGCAACTGAAGGAATGGAAAAAGAGTTGCAAATGACCTATCAGATAAAGGGCTAGTATCCAAAATCTATAAGGAACTCACCAAACTCCACACCGGAAAAACAAACAACCCAGTGAAGAAATGGGCAGAAGACATGAACAGACACTTCTCCAAGGAGGACATCCAGATGGCCAACAGACACATGAAATGATGCTCAGCATCCATCCTCATCAGGGAAATACAAATCAAAACCACACTGAGATACCACCTCACGCCAGCCAGAGCGGCTAAAATGAGCAAATCAGAGAACTCTAGATGCTGGCGAGGATGTGGAGAAACGGGCACCCTCCTACACTGTTGGTGGGAATGTAAACTGGTGCAGCCCCTCTGGAAAGCAGTGTGGAGTTTCTCAAAAAATTAACAATAGAACTCCTCTTTGACCCAGCAATATCACTCCTGGAATTTATCCAAGGGATGCAGGAGTCCTGATACATAAGGGCACATGTACCCCAATGTACATAGCAGTACTCTCAACAATAGCCAAAACATGGAATGAGCCTAAGTTTCCATCAACTGACGAATGGATCAAGGAGATGTGGTTTATCTATACAATGGAATACTGCATGGCAATGAGAAAGAATTAAATCTGGCCATGTGTAGCAACATGGATGAAACTTGACAGTGTTATGCTGAGTGAGGTAAGTCAGGCAGAGAAGGACAGATACCATATATATGCATGTATAGGTCGATTAGGAGGTACTTAATGGAGGACCATGAGGAAGGAGAAGGGGAAAATAGTCAGGGAGAGGGAGGTAGGCAAACCATGAGAGCCCTTTGAATGCTGAGAACAAATTGAGGGCTGTTGTGGGTGGGGGAGAGGGGAAAGGGGGTGATGGGCATGGAGGAGCACACTTGTTTGGATAAGCACTTGGTTTTATATGGAAACCAACTTGTCAATAAACTATTTTAGAAAAAATAAAGAAAAAAAGAAATGTAAAATACAATAAAAATAAAATAATGTTTGAAAACGTCTGGAAGGTATCGTTGGGGTGAAATTTTAAATCCATAGTTCAACTCTGCTAAATGTTCAGGTCAAGTGACTTAATGATTTGCAAAATATCCAAAAGAAGAGCTCTATCTCTGCTTTTCTAGAATAAACAAAAAAGAAACTTAAAAAAGTAAATGTGTTGTCAACATAACCCATTAGATGGGAGCATAAAACGTTTATTGTTAACTTACTTCTGGCCCAACTTAAAGCCCAAGCTAAATGTTATAAGGATGCACATTTTAGTAAATAATTCCCAATGGAAGTGCTCTGCAAACACCTGATAATGATTGTGTGACTGTGGTGAAAGTGATGATGCTGCAAGGATCTGAGCATGGCCTGCTCACTTATTAATGATGTAAAATTGCCTGTTTGACTCTTCTGCTTGCATGAGACATAAAGTCTAGTTCACAATGAGGAAATCAGAAATCAACCAAAAGCAGATCTTTGCTACCTGGAATTGGCCCAATTTGGTAGTTATTTTGGAAACTCATAGAGGAAAAGATGTACATTTGTAATCAAAAGAATAATTTAAACCTCCACAGAAGTTACTCTACAAATTGAGACTAAATAGAACTATCATGTATTAGGATAGAGAATGAATTAAAATATATACATCAGTTTCTTTTTTTTAAGTTTTTATTTTTTAATGTTTATTTATTAGTTTTGAGAGAGGAGAGACACAGAGTACAAGCAGGTAGGGACAGAGAGAGAGGAAGGCACAGAATCTGAAGCAGGCTCCAGACTCTCAGCTGTCAGCACAGAGCCCCACACAGGGCTCAAATTCACAAGCCGTGAGATCATGACCTAAGCCAAAATCGGGTGCTCAACTGACTGAGCCACTCAGGCACCCCGTATATATATTGGTTTTTTAATAAGATATTTTTTCCTTGTGTTAACATTCAGAATTTCGAAAAATAAAAAACAAACTGCTGACTCTCAGGGATCAAAAACTTAATGACATATGAGTTATAGCATTAAACCTACTCAGCAAGTGTCACTATTTTGTAGACTGATTTTAACATTATCCCAAAAAGGTCAGGTAATAAAAAAAAAATATAAAAGGAAATCTGTATTCCTAACATTAGTGAGAGTATAATTAAGCAACTGGTTGATGTCAACCTTAGAGAGTTAAACAGGTAATGCCCAAGTACATCAGTCATAAGTATTTTTTTAATAGCCAAACAATAGTGGTTTCTTGATAAAAGGTTAGTTTCAATTGGTACAAAATTGCTGTGTTAAATAAGTTTTCAAAATACATTCCTTTTAAAAACTATTTTTAATATTTATTTATTTGAGAGCGAGAGAGTGAGAGAGAGAGTAAGGGAGTGTCAGAGACAGAAGGAGATACAGAATTCGAAGTGGGCTCCAGGCTCTGAGCTGTTAGCACAGAGCCCGATTTGGGGTTCAAACCCACGAACCATGAGATCATGACCTTCACCAAAGTTGGACACTTAACCAAATGAGCAACCAGGCACCTCTGAAAATACATTTCTACAGGTAAATATTATCGCTTAGTAAAAACAATTATCTATATATACAAGTATTTGTTTAGATTTGGTCAGCACAACAAAGAGGGATTTAGAAATAAGACAGTGTAGGGGCGCCTGGGTGGCTTAGTCGATTAAGCGTCCGACTTTCGCTTAGGTCATGATCTCACGGTTCGTGGGTTTGAGCCCCGCGTCGGGCTCTGTGCTGACTGCCAGCTCAGAGCCTGGAGCCTGTTTCAGTCTGTGACTCCCTCTCTCTCTGACCCTCCCCTGCTGACACTGTCTCTCTCTCTCTCTCCTAGAAATAAATAAAACATTAAAAAAAAATAGTTAAAAAAAAAGAAATAAGACAGTGTAGGACCACTCACTCCCTGCATAATGCCTTTTCACTGTTGTATAATGGTTAGTAGTCACAAGCTGTAGGTTTAGGCACACTGTACAGAGTTTTTACCAAGAGAAAGTGTTCAGTGACTTTAGAGCATGTTTGTGCAAGGCCAATTATTTGGGTTATTTTGCCATTAACTGCACTGGTCAAAGCTGTTTAAAAGGTAGAACTGGGGGCACATGTGCAAGTGGTCAGTTGAAGCCCCATAAGTGAATTAATGTAATAAATATTACAATTGTATGGATTATGTCAAATTTTGCCACAGCTCAGATTTTATCCTCAATACAAATGTGTGTGTGAACACTTACACACACACACCACATAAATCTAAAACATATTTAAAAAGAAGAAAATTAGGCAATGTTTGTTCAGGAATAATAGCAGGTAGACTTCTGTCATGAAGTTTCTTAGGGTCCATCACAAACATCATGAGGGATAACTTTTATGGTATTAAGTTCTGTCATATGTCTCTGAAAATTACTTTCTAATATTCTTCACCACATAAGAAATATCCTGAGTTTCTCACTTTAAGTGTGAGTAGAATTACTAACTTATACTTTACTTGTAATTCAGATTTAAATACACACACACACACGCACACACACACACACACACACACACTTATTCTTAAAGTTGGTCCATTTAAGAATAACTAGAAGCATACAATAATATCATTTATGAGCAATTTTGTATAAATGACATTTTGGATGCAGTCCAAGAAGATGTCATTCCAAAATCCCAATAGGATATCATTCTGTGGCAGCCATTACCTACAAGAAGATTCCACATACCAGTTAAGTCAATATTCTAAAGTGGTTCCAGTATATTTTTTTTTGAGATGCTTACTAACAGCTAATGATAACCTGAAGAGTTAAGAACCTTTCATAAAGGCAGAGAACAGATACACAGCAACTGGGCACATGTTCCCTAAATCAATTGTCCATATTCCATGTATCATTTACCAGTACAACTTACTAATAGCAAGCTTTTCAACTACTTGATTTGCAGTCAGGTGTAAATTCTCCACAAATTCACTCTTTGTTTTGGAAACTTTCTTCCCATACCAAATTATACTTAAAAGCTCATTTGCCACAGTTTGGTAGAAGCAATTTTTACCTGTAACTTTCAATTCAGTCGTTCGTCTCACAAGTTTTCCTTCATACTTAAGTTCACAAGTGTAATTTCCTCCATCTTCTTCTTGAACTTCTTGGATTAGAAGAGCATTTCCTTTCTGTATTATTATGCTTCTCCACATTTTTGGCTTGCATTCCTGCAGAGAAAATATTTGCAAGTAAGCAAAAAATTAAAATTCTCATCAAGTCCTAGTACTGGCAAGTTAGTACTTTCACTTATTTGTACTCTTCTCTTTAGGTTTCAAAATATATAACTAGAGTTAAGCCAATGACCAGAAAAAACCACGAATGTCTTTTAAAGTGTCTAATTTAAATATCACAACTATCAGCCTAAGAGCTACTTTGAAGGCCTGATCCCAAGTGTAGAAAGTCTTTAGAGATAGTCTGCCAACACAGAAAAGCATACAAGCTCCCCCAATACAAAAGAGGTATAACAGAAACTTAAAAGTAGCTAAATATCACCATAAAGCCCTGGTTTTTTTTTCTTATTTCACAGGGACATTTCCTAAGTGTCCTAAGAGAACAGTGTTCACTTAGCAACATAGTATACTGCAAGGGAGACTTACGCATTATAAAAAATTCATAACAGGCTTTTACGTTGGCAATGTAGTCTACAATGGTTTTATTAATTACTTATTATAATTAAAAACAAATGCTAATATTCTAGAGTCTTTCTCCCCATAGTTAAGAGACCCATTGGGTGGGTGGGATAAGGGGAAGCGTTCAAGAAAATTTGGCTTCAGCAGTTCTCTTAAGCAGCTAGGTAAGATAAACACACATTTTGTCTTAGTAATAAAGTGGAGAAATTTTCCACTTACTTTGTAAGTTCAGTGATATATGAGCAGAGAATAAGATTTGGGTTTGGAAGACAATTTTTCTACACTCCTAAGGAGAATGTGAGTGAGTCTGGCTACTGGGATTGGACTTCTCTAGAAAGGGGTGTTTAGCACTTTTCCAGGGAGTGACAAGGACATAGCAATTGCCAAGTATGTAAGAATATTCAGCCAAGTGGCTTTGCCTTTTGGGAATTTTCTCAGGCTACTTTGTAGATATTGTTCCAGTCTGTCTAGTACCCATCTCAAATGTTCAACAAAAGTGGTAGCCAAAAGCTGTATAAACATCAAAAGGAGGTCTAGGGGATAGCCATGATTATTCAGCTGTTCTAAGTAATCAAGGCAAAAATATTTTATCATCTAAATTCTGAATCTTAATTTAGCTAAGACAATGAAGAAATTATTGTGACGCAAATGATGTAAATAATTGTTAACAGAACTTTCCACTTATCCCACTATGGTATATAAAATCTCTCTACTACCCCTCCCACCCTCATCCCCCAACTCCTGCTCACTATATATACATCCTAAACATTCACATAAAGGTAGAATCAGTGCTGACTCTCAATCCCCAGCTCTGCATGGCTGTATGTATACATACATGCACAACACACGTGTGTGTGTGTGTGTGTGTGTGTGTGTAAAATGCTTTGAGAGAAGGAGCACCCATTTATTAGTTTCTTACTATGACAATTTTTTTTTCTTTTGTGATAGCAGGAGTTTTGACAACAAAACACAAAAACTGGCACTTAAGTTCACAGGTATAATATTTAGGAGATATTCTTGCTTTATGTGCAATACAACTACCCACTCACATTGTCAGAAAGTAAATAAAATACTATCTAAGGCATCTAGATATAAGGCTGCTTCACTCCCTAGGGTCTTTCCAAAGAACAATTACACACCATGTCTGGTGAGGTTTATCACCTATGTGAGATTTGCTCTTGAGTTAAACCTGGGGATATAAGGTTTCTGGGAAAATGAAGAAGAAAGTCTGAACAAAAAGAAAAAAAAAATAGTCCAGCTGCCACTATCGTCATACAATAATAATCCACAATTATTTTCGCATTGCTTCAAACTCTGATAGCCTCAGATTTCTAAGGAATCATTCTGAAGGTTATTAAACAAAAATATGGTCCCTTTGGGCATTTTTAGAGGAAAGGAAAATGAAAACTGAGCTGCTTCACTTTCACATAGCAGTGGTGGGGGTGGGCAAATGAGCCCACACACTTATTGTATTCAAAGACATATGACATTTTCTAATGTCATTTTTGGTGAAAGTCCATATGCAATTAGCTCTTACTATTTTCATTTTCTCTGCACACTGCTTTGATTTTTCCACCAGGAAGTACAATCTAAAGAGTGTATAGGAGTTAGAAAATAAGCCCAATGAAGAACAGCCTGGAATCTTTATACATTCTTTGGGCTAAATCAAGATATCCCCAAGTGCTTTCCAAGTTTCCATCTAGACTTATAAAGGATTATTTGTGCCCAATATAGCTTTTTGGGGTTTTTTAAACTATGGCATAGGAAAATGTTATCATCAGGTCATCTCCACCCTTCTGGAGACAATGTAGTATAGATGAAAAGGCCAGCAGCTGTCAGAGTAAGACAGCTCTAGGTCATCATCCGGCGTTCACCCAAGTTCTGTGGTCTTGGGCAAATTTGTTTAACTGCTTTAGGTATCAGTTTCTGACTCTGTGTATGAGGATAATATATACTACCATGTAAGTAGCCAGAGCCCAGAGGCTTGCAGAGTTTATTCATTACACTCTTGCTGGGCAGCACTATATATGGTGGTCATTCAGAACAGAGAACACATTCCATCCCTAAACTTTCACAATCCTGAATTATATCTCTTCCAAACCTCCAGCTCTCTTTGGTGAAAACTGGTGCTAATGGACTAATCAGATGAAAACAAATCCTCACTAATTGGTTAACCATCCCCAGGAACATAATACTTTAACTCACTGAAAATATATAGCTCCTAAAAGACCACTCCAACACTAATCCAGAAGGTGGGTAGAGTAACTACGTTTTGTTCAGAAGAGGCTTATAGAAGACCATAACGCCCCCACCAACCCATCCTTTATAAAGTTACTTCATTGGTTATCCTACACATATCTGGGTACCTACATCAAACCTCAGAAGTCTTCCATGCTTTTTACTCCATTATTTGCAATATCGTTCCCTTAAACTGCTGGCTGATAGGCTTACTATTGTCATTGTTTCCCTCCTGTCCCCAATTTTCCCATGACCTCTTTCCTGGTGAACAGGTACCATTGCCATACCTCATTGCTCCATACCTGTTTGACAGCCTCTTAGGCAAAGAAATTTGAAGCATGTAATTCTCAAGGTGATTGTTTATCTGAGGCTAGGTAAAAAACACCAAAGCCTCAAATATAAGCAGGCCCCTAATGCTGTTCTCAGTGTGTAATTCCTCTATTATTTAATGCCCCTGAGACTATTAAAATAAACTTTATCAAGTCAATGGTTTTGCTGAGGGCCAGTCTTGCTAGAAGTACCCAAGTTCAACAAACATCGCCTGGCTGATCCCTCACAGAGCACTTTGTTGTAGGACCTCCTTGTTCAATGTCAGCCCTTAAAGCCCAGCTTCCTTTCCTCCCTCCCAACCTTCCAGTGGCAAGTGCCACTTGCCAGCATTTGCTAGGTTGGGAGCCAAGGATGTTCAACAGAAACATCTATTGACCAAGCTTCTTGAAGTAACTTGTTGCCAGCCACATTTGGACCTTAGAATTTCCACCCTGAAATAGTCACCAATATATTCACAGTACATTTCTGGGATATCATCATCATACCCACAGGTATTTTTGAAACAGTTTGATTTGTTGGCCATGGATATTTCCGTGCTATTCAGAGCACATGACTCATTTCTCATGGCAAGAACACTAGGAAGATTTATTTAAATATTTATTCTGATTCTGAAGTTCAGACACAAAGTAGTTGTGCAACCACAAACCAATCACATAACCTCTGGTCCTCAAGGGAACCTGATATTCATACCCTCAGACTCAATTTCTCTCCTTTCTCCTGAGACTGGACTATTTCATAGAGTATCTAGGCATTTGACTAAAAATCTATAGGGAACCTGAACTTTCTTCAAATTAAAGATGGAAGACATAGGAGCACAATTGTGAATTAGGTATTAACTTTGCCATTTTCAGCCCTACCTCTACTCCAAATTCATAGGATAGCAAACTTCAGAAAGTCTTTCTGCTTCCTAGCGGAAAATGAAAATTGCCTCATTTTTTTTCACCTATTAAAAAGGTGGCATTAGGGGGTGCCTGGGTGGCTCAGTTGCTTAAGCATCCAAATCAGTTTCAGCTCAGGTCATGATCTCATGGTCTGTGAGTTCAAGCCCCTCATAGGGCTCTGTGCTGTAAGCTTGAAATTCTCTCTCTGTCTCTCTCCTGCTCAATCTATTTTTTTCTCTCTCTCTCTCAAAATAAATAAACTTTTAAAAAGTAGTGATAATAATATTTACCAATATGGGTGATTATGAGGAATAAATGAGGTAATGCATATAAATGTTCTGTATTATAGAGCATCATATGCTAAAAACTATAAATATTAACTATTATTCTATTATCATTACTAGCCTCATAACTCTGCCTTCAAATTACATACATACCTATTATGACAGGTTAATGACTGTCAGGAGTTAATGTGATTCACATTTCTATGGAGATCTGGAGACAACTCAAAAGACAATCCAAAGTTATAATTCCAATGCAGGGGTTGACTTCCAGTTTCTGATTCAACATGCAAAGGCTTGGAAGGTGTCACTATCATCCACACAACAAGAAAATAAAAGCTGAACAACCTGGAAGTCAACTACCCTTCTTATATCCATCAGATAACTGAGGTGACAGTGAAAACCACTGTCCTAGAAACTGGAGAGAAAGGTGAGTACAAAGAATCACAGCTTACTCGGAACTAAAGCAGACAAAGGAGCCAGCAACTAGTAGGAACACTTAAAGGATAACTGACTAATTTCTGAAGACTGACTGTGAACTAGCTTGATATATTAAAAAACCATGGTGGCCTAGGGGCGCCTGGGTGGCTCAGTTGGTTAAGCATCCAACTTCGGCTCAGGTCATGATCTCATGGTTCGTGGGCCCCGCGTCAGGCTCTGTGCTGAGAGCTAGCTCAGAGCTTGGAGCCTATTTCAGATTTTGTCTCTCTCTCTCTCTCTCTCTCTCTCTCTCTCTGACCCTTCCCTGCTCATGCTGTCTTTCTCTCTCATAAATACATACAAAATATTTTAAAAATTAAAAAAAAGA